CTTTTTTTTTTTTATTTTTTTTTTTAACTTAATCAATATGGTACAAAATTTGATTTTGGCACTTGCTACATTGACAAAGGAAAAAAAAAATAATGAACATGATTCAAAAAGGTTAAATATCCCTGAAAAAACAGTCCCGTATTGGAAATGAATGGGAAACTAATTTCATGTAGTGGAAAGCTAATTTTTTGAGATATCAACCTCAAATTTGGAACACAACTTGTTTAGAGTTTTGTCGCAGTTTTACAGTAAAACATGTTTTGGAAAATATATATTTCATATAAATATAACAATAAGTTTAAACTTCTATAACTTCTTTTTCTTTCACTTTTTGAACATTTTTTACTTCAGCAATAATCAACCTAGTGTCTTCTTTAAAAAGAGATCAAACTTAAGTCAGAATTTACTACAGTTTAACTTGGAAATTTAATTTTCAGGTCTATGCTCAAAAAATGGTTTAACATGTAAAAAAACGGATCATAACTACAGCATAAATATAATTTAGTACTATAAAATCCCCTAAAATGATGGTACAAAATTTGATTTTGGCACTTGCTACATTGGCAAAGGAAAAAAAAAAAAATGAACATGATTCAAAAAGGTTAAATATCCCTGAAAAAACAGTCCCGTATTGGAAATGAATGGGAAACTAATTTCATGTAGTGGAAAGCTAATTTTTTGAGATATCAACCTCAAATTTGGAACACAACTTGTTTAGAGTTTTGTCGCAGTTTTACAGTAAAACATGTTTTGGAAAATATATATTTCATATAAATATAACAATAAGTTTAAACTTCTATAACTTCTTTTTCTTTCACTTTTTTAACATTTTTCACTTCAGCAATAATCAACCTAGTGTCTTCTTTAAAAAGAGATCAAACTTAAGTCAAAATTTACTACAGTTTAACTTGGAAATTTAATTTTCAGGTCTATGCTCAAAAAATGGTTTAACATGTAAAAAAACGGATTATAACTACAGCATAAATATAATTTAGTACTATAAAATCCCCTAAAATGGCAAAATATTAAATAAAAACATTACTGAACTAAAATATAGTACATTAATTTAATTGAAGTAAAAAAATTCTGTCATTGTTGATCGGCACGTGAGAAGCACCAGAGGGTTAAAGCAGCTTTACAGAAAATCATAATGCTAATGTTTATAATATCTTAATATTTCCATGCCTTATAGTCACATTTATCAGAATAAAGCTAGGCAAATAATACAGTTTACATTTTGTGCCAATATAATCACAGAGCCGAGATTTGCTATGATGATGTTTGCAGATGAGTTTAACCTGTTCAGTGTGATGATCATCAACGACCTCTGTAGTCACATTTAGAGACTTGTTAGCAACCGCCTTTTTCAAGACAAGTAAAAAAAAAATTTCACAAGTATTACTAATGTATTTTATGTTGTAGAATAAAACAGGAAATATATTGAACTTGTGTTAACCACAGAAAAACCCCATTGATTTTGGGACGACGGAATCAAAAGTAAAACATGTTAAAACCACTGTCAGCCGACCCGTAATATCTGTGAGATGCACATGTTTATGTTTGTAGGTGAGCTCTCTGGGCTGGTTGGAGAGGAAAACCGCAGCTACGATTGATGAAACTCCTCCCACATCCTCACTGAACGAAGCTCTGGAGAACTTCCTCAAGGTAATGATGAGATTATGTACAGTTTTATCAGCTGAAAGCATTCATCAAATTTATTCTGATGTGTCTGATTGTCTGATCTCTAGGCGGAGGAGTTAAATCCAGGCTTCTCCAAAGCAGTTCGCCTTTATATAGCCAAGGTAACCGCATTGTCTATAATGGGTTTATTCTTCAAGATGTGGCATTCTTTTAAGGCAAGACACTACAGGTGAGGCGAATAGGATATTTTTTTAACTAATAGATATCACCATACTTCAGCATTTCAGTACATTAAGAAAATTATTTTATATCAAACTTTTTCGGAAACTTGATGTTTAAATATGTAAATGATGCATTATTTAATTAAATTTGCACTAATTTGCATACATTTCTAAAACAGAAATCTAAACATTGGATAAAGTCAGGTTCAAACTTATTGTTTCATTTTGTTGACATGTTACAAAGTTTTTTACAGAGGGATTTTAGATGTTTTTTTATCACTCCATAAATCAGAAAATGCTGTCAACAGAGAGAAAAAAAATACATTTGAACTGTTTTTAGGAATTAAATGTTATTAAAATGAGGCAAATGATATATAAACAAACATAGATAGGAATAAAATAAAAGTTAAATGTATGTAAGTGCTACTAGAGATTTCGGACTCATTTTGAAGCAACTGTATGCACGGTTTTTACCTTGAAATATCAGTTTCTGGATCATTCTGATGGCACACTGACTTCTTATGAGGCGAATGGCTTCTGTTTCCCAAACGACTGTTCTGGAAGAATGTAAGTTTGGTGAGCGGATTGCTTTACGGCAGCAATAAATGCAAGTGTACAGCTGGAATATTTATGACAGCGAATTCCACTCACTTAAAGTTGCTGTATGTAGGATTGACACCGAGTGGTTGAACTAGGTATTGCAGTCCAAATTCAAAATATTGGAGAGGTTTTTTTTCACCCGGCCCCTCCTCCTCAGACTTGACGCACACGCAGGTTGCCAGATTGACGACACCAACAGGAACGAGCGCACTTGACTTTGAATGAAATGAAATACGCTGTGTTTTCCGCCAACTGGCAACCCGTTCCGAAATAATAAATAATAAAATGGGTGGCAGTGGGCGGGTTTCACAAACCAAAACAGACCGACATTCCGGATAACTGACTAGAATTGTTTTTCAGATAAACATGTTAACTTAGCATGTTTCTTAAATATCTGCAAACATATTATGGTATTTTTATGCTTTAGTAGAGTCAAAAACTTACACACAGCACCTTTAACTATAGGGGGCTCCAAAGTCGCAAAAATACACAAAACAATGGGTTTGCCTGCAGTATCTTGCCTTAAAGGAACAGTTCACACAAAAATATTTTAAAAACTTCTTATTGGAAAACGATGCATTTGTTTGCAGTGTCATAAGGAGCTCGGAAACGCGTCAGAGGCCAGAAATTGGGTCCATTTAGCTCTGAGCACACCAGCAGGAGCAAATGAGGTGAATTTGTGCTCTTCAGTTTCACTAGTATTGCTGATTTGAAGATATGTCTCAAATGAATGGTTTTGTTTCTGCAGGATTCTGACAGCGCTGCTTTACAGGAGGAGCTGAAGGCTTTGATTGACAGCAAAAGTGATCTATAAGCAGTATGAATAATTAGGGCGGGGTCTAATGAAAACTCATTTAATCTTTTTACATTTCACCTGATATGTGCACTGTTTTATTTATTTAATGTTGTTTGCAATGGATGTGCATTATTAAAATGTATATTTTTCTTTCAGTAATCTGGAAAAAAAAATCAAAATATTATATAATAAAATTTACTGCTGTTCACATATCTCCTTCACAAAACGCTGCGTTTCATTCCTTAAAAAAGATGAAGGTAACATTCCTTATTTTTATATTTAAACATGCTGTGAAATTAATCAATTACAAAATGCCTGATGTTTGATTTTGTTTTGACATTAAGTGAATTCCTGAAATATGACAATAAAATTCTAATCGTCTCACAGTATTTTGCCATTTTTCTCCATCTACTTCAATGGTTTTAACTGACGGTATTTTATATACACACACAAAATGCACTCCTATTAGTTTAACAGACAAAACACTTTAATTCTGAGTAGTTTATGTACAAGAAAAAGGTTTAGTCCAGACAAAACAAACAAATATAACAAAAGATGTAAATAACAAACAGTAAAGAGGAGGCTGACATCACCGTAAAGAGCAAATAATTACACCAGCTCAAATCATCCAGATCCGTGAATATCCATCAATCTGCATATATTTAAATCAACAATGAATTTCCCTCTGAAGGGTTCATTCTCTTTCCGAATAATTCCAGACTAAACAATGTGTCCACATTTACACATTTCAATCATTTTACAGGAGTCTTTTCTCTGGCTGATGGTCTCACACAGGGTCTCTGGTCGGTCTCATTTCAGTCTTTAGCATCACCCACTCCATCAGCATTAATGGCAAACATTGCCTCTGCCTCAGGCAAACATGGAGAATCATAGATCTTGCATATCCGCGTCTCTCCTCGACCTTTCCGCAGGTATAATCTACAAGAGACAGAGAATTGATTTGAGATATTAATCTATAGAGTATGAGAGCATCAATCGGCTCCACAATCATCAAGTGTTACCGAGTAGTCGAGGCGTGTGCTAGAATATTTCCTCCAATCGGCTTCTTGGGATCTGCTGAAAACATGGCTGCTCCGTCCACCTGTGCTACCACCTGGTTAGTGATGACCACAGCCACACCAAACTACAAACCAGATTTAAAAACAAGACATATTTCTATGATCTCACATTATATATATATATACATCATATAGTCAAGTCACATTTATATAGCGTTTTATATATTTAGTTCTAAAGCTTTACAGTAATAAAGAAAAAAAGTAAATTGTTAATAAATGAATAAAAATAAATGTTAAATCAGCTAGTTGCCAAAGCAACATTTCTCATTTTGATTTAGTTTAACTACTAAAATAACTAAATAAAAAATGAATAAAAATGATATGGACATATTTAAAACAAAAACGAATAAAAATGACAAACACAACAAAATTATTAAAACATGAAAATTAAAATGAAAGTGAAAAATATAAAAATAAAAGCTTAATACAAAATATTAATAAATAATAACATCTATAATAGTATCTCAGTGACGCTAAAACAACACTGACCAAGAATCCTTCATATGTGGAAATGATTTATTAATTTATTCAAAAATAAAAATGTAAATACTAAAAAAATCAAAGAAACTGACAAATGATTAAAAATCAAGAACCTTATTCTGAAATGTTGGGAAACTGCAATATGTGGAAAAATGCACAAATAAATTGGGGGGAAAAAATGACAAAGACATTTAAAAAGTGTATTATGTTTAAAAGCAAAGCTGTAAGAAAAATAGTCAAATAGACATCTAAAAATGTATTTTTCATTCAGTAAAAGTTATTAAATATTTAATTTAAGACAACATATAAAACGCATTTTTAAAAGCAAAAAAATTGCCTTAAATCAGCCAAAAAACTAGATCAGCCAATAAACTTTCAACTATATTTTAAGTAGGGATGCACCGATACCACTTTTTCCAGTACTCGCCCGATACCGATACTTCTATTTTTGGTACTTGCCGATACCGAGTACCGATACCGATATTTTTATTGCATTTGTAAATTTTCCAGTAAAAATTCATCTTGAAATATAACTAACAATATAAAAGTTATTCTTATGTTTACTTCAAAATCAGTAAAATGTCAAAGAAAAAATATTATTACAATTTAAAATAACTGTTTTCTATTTGAATATTTTTTTTAAATATAATTTATTCCTGTGATCAAAGCTGAATTTTCAGCATCCTTACTCCAGTCTTCAGTGCCACATGATGCTTCGGAAATCATTTTAATATGCTGATTTGCTGCTCAAGAAACATTTCTGATTATTATTATTATCAATGTTGAAAACAGTTGTGCTGTGTAATACATTTGTGGAAACCATGGTATATTTGAAATATAAATCTTTTGTAACATCATAAATATCTTTACTGTCAATTTTGAGCAGTTTAATGTGTCCTTGCTGAATAAAAGTAGTCTTTCAAAGTACTTAAAAAAAAAAAAGAAAAAAAAGTATGTTTTACCTGGCATGTGACGGCCAGTGTGTGACACAGCTGTGTCTTTCCTGTGCGAAACTCGCCGAACATCTCAGTGATGGATCCCGTCTCGATTCCTCCTGCACAACACAGATACACAAAGATTCAATCAGGTGATTACAGCATATAGTACATTATTATCAGACAGTTCAGTTCAGTTCAGTGTCGCACCCTGCAGGAGTTTGTCAAGCTCTTTGGACCCTGTGGAGATCTGGATGATTTCAGCTCTGCGCTGGTGGAACTCAGTCGCTGTGGTGAAGCCCATGGGAACCATCTTAGCAGCCTCTGTCTGTTTGGTCAAAACAAAGATTTAGAGTTTTGTTCATATCGCTAAAAACAGAATGGGAGATGGCAGCTCTGAAGGTCTCACCAGGATCTTGTCGGCTTTGGCTTCACTGATTCCTTTGATGTGCAGCAGCTCTTTCTTGGGTGCGTACGCTACGGCCTCCACGGTGTGAAAACCACCATCTTCCAGCTTCTTAATGTCACTGCTGCTGATGCCACATTGCTGCAGAGAGATTTACAACATCAGCACCATGAAAAGAGCGTTTGTGTTTATACCCGCAGTGGCAGCCGTACCTCCAGACGTGAAATCGGTTGCGGCCCAAAATGTTCTTCCTCCTCTGCATCTGCCTCCACCCGGGATGCATTCCTCATAGCCATGTTTACTGTTTCATAACACAAACACATGACACAATATCAGCTTAACAATTTGAGTGAAGTTGGTGGAAACCTTTGGGCTGCACTCTCTGTTTACATAAACCAGACACTTTCATAGTTCTAAATGAATACATTTAGTAAAAACACAAAATTAGGGTTCACAACACTAATCTATATAAATAATTATAGTTCAGTGTCAATCACATTCAGTTTGACTAATAATATTTTAATGACTTTTCTAGAGGTCTGGAACCATCAGATTAGCATTTACAAAAAAAAAATAACTAAAGAAAACACGATATTATACATGTCTGGACATGTTATCAAGTTATCATTTGAAACACCAAGGTGTAATAATACGGCAAAAAAGCCTTACAGTGATGGTAACACCACAGTATTTTGATATACAGCATAGTTTTACACAGTATTCCAAAGAATACCGTGGTACTATTAAAAAGTACCATAGTATCACCATCGCACAGTGTTATCTAAAAATCAAAAGGACAATTCGCAAATTAACTAAACAAAAACAATAATTTTTGATCAGTTCATTGCTAATAAAATGTATTAATCAGTCTGATAATGTCTTAGAAAACCCGCAGAACAAACACATAAACACACACGCAATCGCGCTCTAATCGACACAAATTCACACTTAATGTAGTGTTCAGACATGTTCACACACTAAAACTCATATAAATGTGTCAAAATATTCACGTAGAAGTGCAATTATCTCATGAATTAAATCTTTAATATCGTGGTTATTGTTTTGTCACTCACCCGCTAAACTCCAGCTACTCAATCTGAACTTTCCCGCGTGCCGCCGTCAGACCACGTCACCGACGTCATGACGACATCACGTCATCGCTCTTTCATAACCTCGTAATCCGAATTGGTTTTATTTTTGGATTTTATTTTTAAAAATATGTATGAAAGGCGATTTGTGAGGACATTTAAAATAGTAAAAATATGCCTGAAAGCCAATTTGTGAGGACATTTAAAATAGTACCCGCTATTCAAAATGTTTATCTTTTGCATAACATTGTTTTCATACATTACCTTTGAAAGAAATCGTATATTAGGATACATAGTTTATACTATGTGTAGGTGTAGTAAAGTGAACTCAGAGTTCATAGTGTTATTTTATTACGAGTTTATGTGACTGATCTTCAGTAAAACGCATGTACACATACAGGTAATGGAAACACAACAGAAAGTTAAACTTGTAGAGCTGTAAGTTATAGAAACTACTTATATAGCCTAAGATAAAAACAGGAATTTACCAACCTACTGTACTGATAGACGAACTGATTAAAAATTATTGCTGCTTTTAATAACTTTTCTTTCATAGTAGAGTATTCATTATTTATTTAGTCCTGAAAAATATATGCATAAAATGATATACAGTGAAAAGACAAATACATCAGTGGCATTGTATTATGAAATTCGGTTACATATGAAACAGACTTTCTAAGAAAATGTTTATGCACATTAATGAAAAATAAATATACAGCAGATTATATTATTATACATTCAGAATTGAATTGAGTTGAGAATGTCTTTAAAATTGAGGTAGTAAACAGGATGCATAATTTCTGTGCTTTAATTTCCCAAAGTTTTCAATGTGGAGCCAAACAAATTATTGATTTATTTTATATTATTTATTTTTATTTGGTCTCAAACTTATTTTGGACTAATAAAATTCCTCTACTTTGAATTTCTTTAAAATGCAATTCTTTAAAATGCAATGAAGCTGTCAATTCAACTTCCTGTTGGGCAATTAAATTCAGTTCAAACCAAGCGGGAACCTCCCGCTCTCTCTGGTGAAGCCAACACGGAAGTGGGTGTTTTGAAGGCAGATCAATGTTCGCGACAAAAAAATATGTGCAAACTGGTATGAAGCAGAGATCAGGTAGCTCTTCACTATCCGCGCTGAAGCTGAGATCGTTCGCCAGCTTAAATGAAACCGAACGCGTCACATTACACGTCACATTGTAATGTCACGTGTCTTTACGGGATGTGTGTGAACCAAGCGGCAACCTCCCCCTCTCTCTCGTGAAGCCAACAAGGAAGTGACTTAAACTGTAATTCATCAACTGGCCGCTAGAGGCTGGCTGCAAAAGGGAGTCAATCCCATAGACTCCCCATGTTAAAATGCCCAACTTTACAGCAGAAAAAAACACGTTTACAGCCTGGTTCAAAAAATGATTTTAGTCTATATAGTTAATTTTGCCCTTAATGACAACTGTGAGGGGGGTGAATTTTTTTATAACTCATCCGTTTAAATTATATTAAGCCTTAAAGTTCTGCATAATTAAGGGCGTGGCCACTTGAGTGACAGGTGGATTGCCGCTGCTGTCACCACCGTCGAGCTAGGTGGGCGTGGTTTCAGCAACCTGCTCCCGCCTCTTTGCCCATTTTTGATTACACGGGAGCTGCCAAGATGGTGACGGCCGGCTCCACCCACTTTGAGCTTCAAAAACGCTCTTCAGGAACCTATGGGTGACGTCACGGACACTACGTCCATGTTTTTATACAGTCTATGATTCAAACTCATGAACTGAAAGAGCACAAATTATTTAAATTCTGAAGAGTTTAAAAAGAGTCGCATATGTTACAGGACAGAATTTGCAGTGGATTGACTCACTATTCTAATACAAATGAAGGTAAAATATCAATAGACAGATATGACATTTCAAATGTATAGATACATAGGTTACAGTCAGATGACTTTTTTGGTGTCTTCTGTTGGTAGGTCTTCGTATGGATTTTCTGTAACAGTATCTTCAGTCATGTCACTCTCCTCTGAAGGCGCCGAGTCGCCAAAGAGGGTGCTTGCTTTCAAGTAATATATGAACAAGAAAAAGCCTAGAAAAACATATGCAATTAACACAAAATGCATGTTATATTATGCATGTTTTACATTATATTAGAAAATCATTTACATTTTTAATGTTTTTGAAAGAAGCCTCTTATGTGCACAGTAAAAACTGTAATATTGTGAAATATTATTACAATTTAAAACGACTGTTTTCTATTTGAATATATTTTAAAATGTAATTTTTTCTGTGATGCAAAGCTGAATTTTCAGCATCATTACTCCAGTCTTCAGTGTCACATGATCCTTCAGAAATCATTCTAATATGCTGATTTGCTGCTCAAGAAACATTTCTTATTATTATCAATGTTGAAAACATTTGTTGTTGTTGTTGCTTAATATTTTTGTGAAAAGAAATAAATCTGTGCATATTAGAACGATATGCTCATCGCAGGAATAAATTGCATATTAAAACATTTTCAAATAGAAAACAGCTAGGCTATTTAAAAATTGTAACAATATTTTACAATATCACTGTTTTTATTGTATTTTTGATCAAATGAATGCAGTCTTGGTGAGCAGAAGAGACTTCTTTTAAAAAACATTTAAAAAATCATATTTTTTCCAAACTTTTGACCAGTAATTCCAATAGACATTTTACCACAAACACGCTGTAAACAGGAATTTTGTCTCATGTTTTAAGTGTATTATAATATAATATTATACAATATAGAGCTCTAGCTTGAATAACATATCACCATTACAATAAAATCTTCATGATTTTAAGGCTTTAGTCCATGTCTGTCAGCTTTGAGGTCATATTTGCTAGCGTAAGTTGATAAAATTATCATTTTAAATGTATGCATTTAAAATCAGCTGCAGAAATGCTCTCACCTTGGAAGGAGTTCAGGATGGTGAATATGTAATACGAGGGCAGACGCATAGCTCCGTAGCTGAAGAAGGCGAAACTCCAGGTGAGTCCCAGCATACAGCAGAGGCCCAGGATGGTGGTGATGTCAAAGGTGGCGGTTCCTGAGCGCTTCACCTTTCCAGCCTTGTTCAGCCTGCTCAGCTTCAGCATGGAGAGCCATCGCAGCACCACAATGAAGGTGCTGAAGGTGAAGATGAAGATCAAGCAGTAATAACCGATGTTCACGTAGTAGTGGACATTAGAGTCTAAAATCCAGCACCTGCAGGGGAAAAAAAGTGCAGACGGTTAAAGTTGGCAAAATTACATATATACAAACTTATATTCACCCTCACACCCATTTACTAATTTTTTCTTCGTAGGAACAGATTTGAAGAAATTTAGCATTCCATCATTTGCTCAGCAATGGATGCTCTGCAGTGAATGGGTGCCGTCAGAATGAGAGTCCAAACAGCTGATAAAAACATCACAATAATCCACAAGTAATCCACACCACTCCAGTGCATGAATTAATATACTGCGAAGTGAGAAGCTGCATGTTTGTAAGATCCATTATTACAAATCCATCAAGACATTTTTAACTTTAAACCATTGCTTCTGGCTAAAATACTGTACGAGTCCTCTATCCATAATATTGATTTCTCCAGTGAAAAAGTCATCTAGTCTGAATCAGAAATATGCACAGATCAAGCACAATTTACTAGTACAAATAGTCAGAAACAATTCTAAACAAGTATGTTGGTGGATTTTGATGTGAGAGGACAACAGGCTTTTCACTGGAGAAAGCAATATTATGGATAGAGAACTTAAATTTACTAGTACAAATAGTCAGAAACAATTCTAAACAAATATGTTGGTGGATTTTGATGTGAGAGGACAACAGGCTTTTCACTGGAGAAAACAATATTATGGATAGAGAACTTGACTTGACCAGAAGTGATGGTTTAAAGTTAAAACACCTTAATGATGGATTTGTTTCTTACAAACACGCATCTTTTCACGACACAAGACATTAACTGATGGACTGGAGTGGTGTGGATAATCTAACATTACTTGTTCCATGTTTTTCAGCTGTTAGTGGTCAGTCTTTGACCTCCTCAGATTGTGGATTATTGTGATGTTTTTATCAGCTGCTTGGACTCTCATTCTGACGGCACCCATTCACTGCAGAGGATCCGTTGGTGAGCAAGTGATGGAATGCTACATTTCTCCAAATCTGTTCCCATGAAGAAACAAACTCATCTACATCTTGGATGGCCTAAGGGTGAGTAAATTTCCAGCAAAATTTTCATGTTTAGGTGAACGATTCCTTTAAAAACAATGTTTCGGATGTCTGATAAAGGCCTTGAAGTCAGCAAAACGTCATTGTTTAAAAAAAAAAAAAATTACATTTATGTTTGTAGAAGGAGTGTTGCACTTTTAAATTTGACTATAGACCACCATTTTCCCCACTCACACTGTTTATTTATTTGAATGCTTTTACTACTTTTAAACAGTTAAAAATAAAAAAAATAAAAAATCTGTTTTTATTTTAAAAGTGTACAAATCTAATATTATAATAATAAGTATTTTCCAAAATAATATTTTAATAATTTGTTTTGGCTTTAGTAAATTGAAAATATAAAATGCAAGTATTTCATTTTGAATTGCATTAAAAAACTGAAATAATATGACTCATACAGTATTTTTCTTACGCCTTACAAAAATGAAGGACCCAAAAGGTTTTTTTTGCAGTGATGCCACAAAAGAACCATTTCGAAGGAGTGTTGCACTTTTAAATTTGACTATAGACCACCATTTTCCCCACTCACACTGTTTATTTATTTGAATGCTTTTACTACTTTTAAACAGTTAAAAATAAAAAAAATAAAAAATCTGTTTTTATTTTAAAAGTGTACAAATCTAATATTATAATAATAAGTATTTTCCAAAATAATATTTTAATAATTTGTTTTGGCTTTAGTAAATTGAAAATATAAAATGCAAGTATTTCATTTTGAATTGCATTAAAAAACAGAAATAATATGACTCATACAGTATTTTTCTTACGCCTTACAAAAATGAAGGACCCAAAAGGTTTTTTTTGCAGTGATGCCACAGAAGAACCATTTCTGGTTCACAAAAGAACCACCAGTTTTTAAAAGAACGTTTTTGTTGTTGTTGTTTGTTTGTTTTTTTGTGTGAAGAACATTTTATTATCTAAAGAAACCTTTTCCATTATAATAGGTTTTCATGCATAATATTATATGGCTGCTATTATATTTTCATCTCATCATATTTTGGAGTCCACTTACATAGTTACGTTGCTTGTGTCCGTTTTTATGGTCTGCTCACCATATTTGCCCAAGACGTAAATGATACTGACAACAAGAGCAGGAGGAGCTGAAACAAATTGTTGACAATGCAATTATAGTATAAGAAAGAGCCTTCAAACTTCTTGGGATTTTTGCCCATTTGATCTTCATTGATCATCTGAGCACTTACTAAAGTACTTCAACAGGCATATTAAAGGTTTTTGAACTCACCCCACCCAACCACAGAGATCTTGATCATGTAATGTTTGATGGTGACTGAGTGTTTGGCCATCTGCAGGCAGAGGTGAAAAGCCTCCACCGCAAACCAGTTGAAACTGGCCAGCAAGCAGTAGTGCATGAATCCAGCCATGACCTTGCAGGCGGTGACGTCCTTCGCACGCGCTACATACTCATTCGACAGGAAGGCCACGTTGAGCAGGAACAGCGCCACAAAGAGATTAACCAGCACGCGGAGAGAATCAGTGGCCTTCACTCTCCTAAAATTTAAAATGCAATTAAAATGTTCAATCCATCACCTTGAAATCAAAGAGCCAGCCATTGTGAATTTAAAAAATGAAGGATTAGCCTTGATAATAAAGTTACTTTAAACTTGAAATCTTGTTTGAAAATAATTAGGATTACAACCATCATTTTAAGCCAGGTTTTAATTTTACAGTCATGTTGCATCCAAATTAGACCAAAGTCCCTTTAAGACAAGTCATGTAACTCAGCGGCCATCTTTGAAATGCCTTTCGGGCATTCAAGTGCATCTCTTTGAATGGGGAAACATCAAATTCTCCAAAACTGTTCACTAAGCTTACGATTCAATTTCATATTTGAAATCACCAAAGAAATCTGACAACTGTGTCATAAATGTTGTTACTTTTGCTCAAAACGTGTTATAAAAAGCTTATTTTTCTGGCTAGATCAGCCAGTGAGCATGCACAGTCCTAAGAGCACGTCTCAGAACGCTGACTGTTTCTATAGCAACCGGGACTTCTAACGGCAGCTGCAGTGACACGTCTTGGGTATTCTATAGTCTTTGATTAAACCCATCATTAAAGGAATATTCTGGGTTTAGTACAAGTCAAGCTTAATAAATAGCACCTGTGGCATAATGTTGATTGATTAATTTCCACTTGATTTTTTCCACATGATTTTATTGTAAGAAAAAAACTAATATTTTTAATAATTCTTAATGTCTCTTTTACTGACCAAGGATGAATTTATCTAAAAAATAAATAAATAATAATATTGTGAAATATTACAATTTAAAATAGCGGTTTTCTATTTGAATATATTGTAAAATGTAATTTATTCCTGTGATGCAAAGCTAAATGTTCAGCATCATTTCTACAGTCTTCAGTGTCACATGATCCTTCAGAAATCCTTCTAATATGCTAATTTGCTGCTCAAGAAACATTTCTTCTTATTATCAGTGTTAAACAGTTGTGCTGCTTGATATTTTGTTAACCGTGTTTTGTTTTTTTTTATCAAATAAATTCAGCCTTAGTGAGACTTCTTTCAAAAACATTGAAAAATCTTAATTAGTGTGTCTCACCTCATGAGGAAGTGCATGAAGAGCCCGATGGACAGGAAAAACAAGGAGAGGCCGCAGCCGATGTAGGTGATGTAGGTGAGAGCAGTGAGGTCGCTTTGGGCAATGGGTACGTTTGGAGGGGTCTGTATTAAAACCGTGTTTAGTTACACAGGACATTGGCAACATTAAGGGTTCAATAACCACAAAATGTCTGTTGTGAAAGGATTTTATCAGCCACAGATTAATAAACATAAATCTGAAGGTGCACGTACAGAACTTATACTCGCACTCCAGCTCAATTTCACAGATTCCAGAAGGAAACAGGAGAACCTACCATAAGCACAGCGAAGAAAGTCAAATGTTTGCATTCACATGTTATATTGTCTTCTGTATTAAAGGTGCTACACCCTTCGGATGTCCAGTTTGGCTTATTTCCTGAAAAAAGGAGGGACTGGTTAGTTTTGTGTATAGATTTAGAGTGAATTAATGAAATTGACATTATGCTTTGGTCAGCAGCATGGGCCGAAAGATTCAAACTCTTAACCAATTATCTTAAATTTGCTTAAGTATGAATACCAACATTGAAATTCAGCTCTCTGTGATATGGAAACTGGAAGTGTATTATTTTAATGTGACATTTTTTAAAGAATATTTCAATGTCTGTGCTGTAAAAAACATGCACAAATAAAAAACAAAAATACAAGAGCATCACAGACCGTTTCCATCCCATGATTTACAAACAGGACTTTCCTCCGTCTTCTGCAGAGAAATACATCAGAATTTCACAAAATAAGATTCGGATGCATTTTACACTACTAGAAACACTTTTTTCCCAAACATTTGAATACCTGATATTTTTTGAAGGTCAAGCTGATGGCGTCACTCAGATTAGAAATTTTTGTCCCCATTTCGATTGCATAAACCTCATCATTCAAAACCGTACTATTCTCTGCATCCTTAAAATAAAAATGAAAGAGGATTGTTTAGGATTGTTTTGTTTTATTGCTTAGGAACAGAATCAGACTTCTATATATAACCATGATGCGATTTACATCACAAATAAAATAAAATAAGATGCAAATAAGACCAGTCAGTAGGTAAAATGACAGGTCAAGAAAAAGGCAAAATATAAATGAATATCTAAATGTTGAGGATATTCAGGATTATTATCCTATTTTATTATTATTTTAAAGGGGTCATATGATGCGATTTACATTTTTCCTTTTTTTTTGGAGTGTTGTTACAAGTTTTTGGTGCATAAAGAAGATCTGAAAAGTCATTCTAACACGCCCCCACATGTCTACGTCACGAGTTTTCATGTTTAAAGAATTTGCCACTGATGATTCAAACGCAAGTTTTAAGAAATGTAGAGTAGCGCTTGTTTGTTGTTTCTCCGATCACAAATGCAGACACGGTTTTATGCGATGCAACGCAACGCGTACCAAGACAGTATAAGTCATTATAATCCGTAATTATGTCCCCACTGGATGCAACAAATGCCTCATTTATAATGGGTTTTAATGTTTTTGTCTCGTCGCTCCGGGACACGGCATCACAATATGGTGAGGGGCGTAACATTTCCGTCACACGCTTGAGGTATTCGGCCAATCACAACGCACTGGATAGCTGGCCAATCAGAGCACACCTCGCTTTTCAGACCGATGAGCTTTGTAAAAATCAACGCGTTTCAGAAAGGTGGGGCATAAAGGAGAAACAATAATGTAAAATATGTGGAAAATAATGCGTTTTTTGAACCTTAAACCGCATAAACACATTTCATTACACCAAATACACCAAATAATGTTCTTTTTAGCAACATCATATGACCCCTTTAAGCCATTTTTTTTTTATTAATGAAGTTATGTTTATTTTTGTAAATCCTCAGTTAAAAGAAGCAAAAACTGCTTTCTGTTACAAACACAGCATTAAAGGTTGACTAAGCCTGTTTTTGATGTTTATTTATACCTTTGACATGTTGGGAAAGAGGAAAACACCCATAAAAGCACTTCCTGCACTTTGGTTGAGCGCTTTCTTAGCTGTTTCCTCTGGAATACTGAAAGCAATGGGATAATTCTGCAGTTCGTCCAAATCATCTATAACCTGTAAACATATGGAGATTTCCATTCTGAGGTACATTTCATGTTTTTAAAAGATAAGCATTTTTGTCACCACCGTTATGCAAAGTGAATGGTTGAAGTCACTTACACTGATGCCAGTTTCTGAAGAGTAGATGAAGTAGGACGTTGTGATTTCGGACTCATTTTGAATTTTCTTTAAAACCCCTTTAACGTTACCCATGGATATAGAGGCAACACTCAAATTCTCCATCAAAAGCAGTAGGCTGGAGAGATTTTCCATGGCCTTACTGAACGAGATACAAGATTATTTGTGTTGCTGTGACAATATATCTGATAGAGTAAATGGGTCAGTTTACAGCAGTGTTAATTTTGTTGACGAATAATTTTCATCAACAACATTTTTTTCACCAACGACAACGAGACGATAAGGAACTAAAACTCTTTTTAAATGACAAAAACTATGACGTAAATCAATTGACGTTTTCGTCAACGAATAAAAACAAGACGAAAATGTTAGGGAGGGACGATTTGGGAAGAGATTCATTCAGAAAGAATCTGCTGAGTGGTTCGGAGATTAGATGCGTACATATGAACCGGCGGGACATAAGCTAACATACACTTGCTGCACGTTGCATAAAACGTTAAAAATGTCAATATGTGGGAGTAAGAGAAGAGCAGACATATGG